CCACCCACTTCACTAGCCAACAGCATCACTTTATGACAGGACGTGACTCACACCTAAGTGGACTATAGTTTCTTAACGTACGAGACCTATGTCTACCTGAGGATCGCCCCGGCTTTGGTAGAAATTTGACAGGCCGCCTGGGTCCCGGGACAGTCTGGAGGCCGGAAGTGTGCGCTTCGAAGCTGGACCACGCGGGCTGAGTCCTGGCCCCAGCTGGGAAAGCCGCAGAGAGTCTCCGCCTCGCAGACACTCGATTTCTCTGCTGTAAAACAGATCATAGAAACGTAGATCTCAAAGAGCTGGGGGGAGTGAGCCACGTGTCTCGCGTGAGTGACAAGGAAGAGCTTCCGAACCCGTCCCTCGGGACGTGGGTGATGCTAATCTCGGGGGAATAGGGTCTCTGCTGTGGAGAAGCGTAATGGCGAAGGCAGATGTCACAGGCGGAGCAAAGAACACGCAGAAGCAAGGAGCTTGCTGAAAATAGAGATCGCGGGTTTCCTAAAAACAAAGGCAACGAAGAGAGACTTTAAAATCTTTATACTACACGTAGATTAAAGGAGAAGCTTTTAGTGGAACAGGGCTAAATAAAGAAATTACGATCAACCGATACATACACACCTTTATATACGGATAACTGGATCACATTTTGACACTGAATCAAAATGGTCTCAGTCATTTATTTCGATAATTTTTATTTGCAATCATTTCTCTTGATCTCGAGGTCCTCCTATTGAATCACAAAGGGGTGGTTGACATAAGAGAACCGGACAGAAAATAGAGAGTCGAGTCTTGGCTTATGACCTCCAGAGAAGGTTTTTGAACTCAGGGCAAAGACAATATTTTAAGAGCAAAAAATCTAATTTTCAAATTTCGAGTACCAAAAATTCTGAACTCTAAATAACCTGGCTCACATCATTTTTGTCGTAAATCCTAGTTTTGGAAGACTGCAGGATCGACAGAATCGGTTCCCTGCCTGGGGAAAAAAATGAAAACCAAACAAACAAAACACTCCCTGGGAGACAGAACAGAGCTGAGACATTGCGTGGCACTAGGAGGGCGGCACGGATCCCGTCCTTGTGCTGGTCCCACAGGAAGGGGTGAAGCGCGACGCCCTTCATGAGGTCAGGGAACCCCAAAGGAGAGGATATCAGAGCCTTAATTTCCAGGAGCAGAATGAAAAGCCACAAGCTTCATGGAGAGCCCAGATGGGTCAAAAGGTGTCAGGGCTGACAGGTGACACGTGTGTCCAGGCAGATGGAGCGGCCGGAGCCCTCTCCACAATGCCCCAGGATGTGCGTGTGCTTGTGTGCGCGTGTGCGTGTGCACGTGTGTGCATATGTGTGGGCATATGTGTGCATGTATGTGCGTGTGCGCATGTGTGCATGCGTGTGTGTGCGTGTGTGTGTATTGCGTGTGTGTGCGCGCGTGTGTATTGCATGTGTGTGCGTGCGTGTGTGTGCGCGTGTGTGTGTGCATGTGGTTTATTGTGATTCAGATTTAGCCCAGATAACTGGCAAACATAACGTGTCCTTTTAGTCAGAATCTACGAGAACCGGTGACCAGAAGACAGACAGGAAAGCAAATATCTTGCCGGATGCCACTGTATATGAGGTGACAGCATATGAGACGAGATGCTTAGTCCCCTACACAGACACACACCCTCCCAACGAGCCCTCCAGGTCGTCCAGGGACTTGGGACAGAGGGAGACAACTGAGCCGACCGCTTAGACGTGGGGAGTTTACCTTAGGCTAAGTCGCACCCGCATTTGCTAGCGTTGTCACGAATCTTCACAAACTCCGCAGCTTCACACGCCCTCTGGGCTCACGGTCCTGAGCTGGAAGTCGGGCGTGCTGTGACCGGCTTCTCAGATCGGCTGAAATGAAGCGGGCGGCCCGGCTGAGCTCTCGTCTGGACGCCGGAGAGAAATCCGCTTCCAGACTCATTCTCGTCACCGGCAGGCTTTAAGTTCTTTGTGACGATAGGACTGAAGTCGCCGTTCTCCCGCTGGCTGTCAGCTGCGCCAGACCTCGATCCCTGGAGGCCACCTGTACCGGCCACATGGGCCTCTCTACCTTCGAGCCGGGAATGGCCGTCGACCCTCTGATGTCCTTCCTGCGCCAGCCAGAGGAAACCCCCACCCTGAAGGGCGCGGGTGCAAAGGTCAGGCCCGCCCTGACGTCCCGTCTCGCTGTCAGCTGTGCTGCACCCCGGAACCCGATTATGGGAGTGAAGGATGCGGGGTGCACGCGGGGGCGGGCGCACAGGAGTTCTGGGGGCCACCGCAGACTTCCGCCTGACACAGTCCTCGAGTAAATCTTTGTTTCAAAAATGAAATTTTGTGTAAATATACGTTTAAAATGTTGCCTTTTTTAAAAAGGATAAAATTATTTAGATTTGGGACCGGCCCAGAAAATCTGGAATAGATCGTTGCCACATGATCTAGTTATTTTCCTGCTACATATGTTAGCATAGGACAGAGAGGGCGCAGCGAACATATTTTGAATGCCACCCATGTGCCAGACACACGCTAGACGTGTCGCATAAATAAGCATCAAAGGGCCTGTGATATGAAGGAAATGAAGGAGTCGGGGTGGGGCGGGGAGGCAGGCAGAATGTCCAAAGCACAGAGCGCAGAGCGCGCGTGCGTCAGACGGCAAAGCTGGGTCCTCCTGGGATTCTGTCCCCAACAAGGCACAGAGGAAAGGAACCGAAATGGGGAGGGGGGACGACAGTGATTAAGCCACGTGTAGCCCCACCCAGGTGACTCGGCAGACCTTTCCCACGGGACCCTCTTAGAGGGGCCAGGGGCCAGGGGCGGCCAGAGCAGCCTCCTCTGTTTATCCCTTGGATCTATGCCAGTGTCATCATTTAAAAATGTGCTATTATGTAAAAAAGGTTCACGGAACACTGGTCTGAGGTCCAAGACAAGGCCCCCCGCAGAAGCGAGGACACGGGGGACCGAGCGGGCCAGGCTGTGTCTCCGAGGAAGGCTTCTGGTAGGGGGCGGGGGGGGGTCTGCCCTCTAGTCCCACAGAAGCGCCTGGCGCTTCGTTTCTGAGTGTTTCAGCTGCAAAAGGACCTGGGGCTTGTGTGCTGGGAGACCGAGGTCCCCACAGGTGTCGGCGCCAACGCCTCATCCCCAGGCTAAGCCGGCCAAGGCGAGGCGTGGCGGTGGGAGGGAGGGGGACTGCCGGAGTGAGACACCCCGAGACCCCTCCTGCCTCCAGCACCTACCCGCCTGGAGGCCCAGGCGGCTTCGGAGTCTCGCCGTCCACGTCCCCGGACGGGACTGCTGGTGTCGCTTCCCTTGCATGTGACATGAACGGCTGTCCACACAGTGCCTGGCAGGTGGTGGGCACTCAATGAGTGGGAGCCCGGATACACCCAGTGGGTGGGTGTGGCTTTACAGTGGCCTGGGGGTACAGTGGCCTGGGGGTACGGCACCCTTTGTGGACGGGGAGGCGGACTGTATTCTCCACCCACCTCTCGTTTGCCCCCTGTCCTCTCCCCTTGGGGTTAGACCCGTCTCCTGTTCTGGGCCCGCTCGCTGGTGCTCTCCCAGTGAGACCAGCACTTGGAACCACAGGATGCTGTCCTTGCTCCACCGCTGGTCACGGCCCTCAGTTCCCTGCCGGGGCCCTCGGTCACACTCTGTGGGTGGCCAAACCCTCACATTCAGGAAATTTGCAGAACACGAAATCAACACACAAACGTCAATTGCGTTTACATACACTAACAATGAACACTCCCAAAGGGACATTCAGAAGACAATTTTATTCATAATCACATCAAAAAAAATAATAAAATACTTAGGAATTAACCGAAGAGGTGAAAGACTTGTACACCGAAAACTGCAAAACGTTGCTGAAGAAATTAAAGACACAGATAAATGGAAAGACACCCCATCTTCACGAACCGAGAGATTTAATACTGACGAGATGTCGCTACAACCCAGAGCCACCTAAGATCCAGTGAGATTCCCCACCAAAATCTCAATGTCACTTTTTGCAGAAATAGAAAAATTTATCCTAAAACCGATATAGAATCTCAAGGGACTCGAAGAGCCAAAACAATCTTGAAAAAGAAGAACAAAGCTGGGTGGGTCACGTTCCCCGATTTCAAAACTTACTAGAAAGCAGTGGTCATCCAAACGAACACAAAGCCAGACGATCAGAGCAGAGAAAGGGCCAGAGCACTTAGAAACAAACTCTCGCACGCAGGCTCAGAGGACCTTCGGCGAGGATGCCGGGACCACCCCCTGGGGGAGGGCAGTCTTTTCAATAAATAATGTCGGCAAAACCGGATGGCCAGATGCTGAAGAACGCGGCCGGACCCCTACCTTACACCGAGCACGTGCGAGAATGAACTCAGAACGGATCCGAGGCTTAGACTTGGCGGCTGACACCGTAAAACTCATAGAAAGATTTGGCAGCGAGCTTTTGGCTCGCCCATCCAAAGCACGGGCAACGAGCAAAATTAGAAACGTTGGATGGCATCAGAATGAAAAACTTCTGGGTGATCAAGGATGTAATCAGTGGAGGGAAACGTGACTAGGAGAATGAGGGACTTAAGTTACGAGTCGCGCGCCTGACGAGAAGTCACCGTCCAGAACGTATGGGGAATTCTCACAGCTCAAGCACGACAGGAACCAGACAGCCCGATTCAGGGGCGGGCAGAGGCCTCGGATAGATACCGCTCTGGAAAGGTGTGCGTCCCAGCCGCGTGAGGACGCTTCACGCAGCCCGCGACACGCAGCCCGCGACGTGCCCATGCGGTGACGGCGGAGCTGAGAAGTGCCTGTCGCCTGGAGACGGCGCGGCCGTGGTCACAGTGCTGCTGCTGTGACCTGCCGCCCGCACCGCCGGTGACGTGACACAGGGCACACGCCGCGCGCGACCAGAAACGCCCACGCGGCTGGGCCGCGCCCTTCCTGCCCCGACGTCCTGTCCTTATTTTAGCGGGCGCTCTGTCTACTTCTGGGACACTCGCCGCGTCCCACCGGCAGCTGCTGCTCGACAGCATCGTCTCGCCTCGTGCTTGGTGCGGCCTCGTGCTGCTGTCTGCGGTAGCGGGTCGCCCAGGCGTGGCGGCTGTACCCGCGGCCTGGGTGGGCAGCGGGCTAGACCGTCCGCGTGTGTGAAAGTCGTTCTGTGACGGCTGCATGATGAAATTGCCTGACGACGCGTTCCTCAGAGCTCGTCCCCGTCCTGAAGCCACACGTGACGGTACAAGTGGCGGATAAACACGTGAAAGGGTGCTCGGCATCGTCAGGGACACGCAAACCAAAGCCACAGGGAGAGACCACCTCACGCCATTATTAAAAGAGACAATAAAAGCTACGCGGTCGGTGGGCCCTGCGGTTCCGCGGTGGGAAATGAGCCCATCGCAGACACAGGGACCGTCCGGTTCCACTCGCATGAGGTCCCAGGGTCATCAGGCTCCAGAATGGCGGATTCTGGGCCGGGGGCAGGGTGCCGGGGGCAGTGTTTAAGGTGTCGAGTGTCGGTTTGATGCCGAGTCCGGACGTGGGTGACGGTGGTGACGGCCACAGTGAGATGAACGCACTTAACGCCACTGAGCCGTGCACTTAAAAATGGTTAAGATGGTCAATTTCGTCATGTGTATTTTGCTGCAGTTAAAGGTAACAATCAGAACACGGGGCGGTGGGAACAGAACACTGGGCGGTGGGCTGCACCTTGCAGAATGCAGCAGCCATGGGGGG